ACCCTTACCCCAGGGGTCATAATTTGAACAAACTTGAATTTACACAACCTGAGGATGATTCCACATGAGTTTCATCTTTCCTGTCCTAGTGGTTCTGGAGAAGAAGATTTTTAAAGATTTTTCTTATATATTCCTATGTAAATCTAGGGTCGGCCATTTTGGCCCCACCTTTGCCCCGGGGGTCATGATTTGAACAAATTTGAATCTACATTACCTGAGGATGATTCCACATGAGTTTCATCTTTCCTGGTCCAGTGGTTCTGGAGAAGAAGATTTTTAAAGATTTTTCCTATATATTCCTATGTAAAACTTGGGTCGGCCATTTTGGCCCCACCTTTGCCCCGAGGGGTCCTGATTTGAACAAACTTGAATCTAGACTACCTGAGGATGCTTCCACATGAGTTTCATCTTTCCTGGCCCAACGGTTCTGGAGAAGATTTTTTTTAAAAATGCCATTAATTTTTCACAAATTCATAATTATTTCCCCTTGGAAGGGGTCGTGGCCCTTCATTTGAACAAACTTGATTCATCTTCACCCAAGGATACTTTGTACTAAGTTTGGTTGAAATTGGCCCAGTGGTTCTTGAGAAGAAGATGAAAATGTGAAAAGTTTACGACGACAACAACAACGACAACGACAACGACGACAGACAACGGACAAATTTTGATCAGAAAAGCTCACTTGAGCCTTCGGCTCAGGTGAGCTAATAAACGTGTGTAAAGAGTTTCTAAGTTACTGAAATCCTTTCTTCTGCAGGGACTTTGGACACGGATGCTTTCGCTGCCTATGTGGCTAGAATGTCGCCGTTATATATCTCCCTGGACGGCAGGATACAGTTTGTGGACGATGACAATCGGTGTGGTGTCAACTCTGGCCTCCCCACAACACAGAATAATTTTTACACTACATTACTGTTATTGTTGACTGTGTGTTATCGTTTTCATTCGTCACAAGTTTGACATTTTTTTATATTATGCATTGGTCTGTTTTTTAATTGTTCCCTGTACTTCTTGTTATTTTTGACTTTGTGTTATCATTTTTCATTCGTCAAAAGTTTGACTTGTTTTGTATTATACAGTTCTCCATTTTTTTCTGTCAAACAATGTCAAAATATGAAAACTATAGCTACATGCAGCTAGTCATAATTACATGGGCTAAGTTTTTCTGTTTTAAATTCATCAAACTTTTTTATGTTCAGCTTTAGAATCCACACCGGGATTTTATTCCATAATTCCTTGTGAATGCTTCAATTTTCAGTTTGACGTAGAACACAAAACATAGGCATTTAGGTTTTTTAAAAAAAAAAACTTAAGTTGTTTATTTGCCTTCAAACACGAATGTCTGATGCCTTATATTGCAAAATTCATATTATCATGTTTTCAGTTTCATGTATGTTTCATGTTCAGATAAATAATTTAAAGTAGTTGGTAGGAACATAAACATGTTAATAAACTCATTAAAATCCACTTTAAAATCCTTTCATCAATTTGTACTTATTCACATGCTAGAAATGCAGAAACCGTTTAAATCTAGTCGTGCAATGTACGTATTAGTGTTAAGTCTCTTATTCCTCAATCAAGCAACTGAAGTTCGCCTCTTTTGAAAGGTTAAGCGACACTACGTTATACACAATGGTCAGAGGACCGTAATAAAATTTTCTCATTGCTTTTCAAATGTTCATCAAATCCAAAATAATAATTTTTGGTTTCATGAAACACAGATCACTGGATTACTTGTCTACCACTTTTTCCTATTTTTTTTTATTATTATTATTGTACTAGTACGAGGGCTGTTCAATAAATAATGTCCTGATCTCTATGACATTAACTATAGAAATCATATGTCATTAAGCTTCCCTTTCCCTTATGATTTTTAAAATCTTGAATGAATTGATGTCAGTTAATGTGACCACTTTCATCGCATAATTTTGTTGTGAGCCGCTGACAAACATGGGCTATTTGAGATACTGCATAATTAAAAATGAATGAAAAAGAATCAGTAAACTAGAGTGAAATCGAAGCCTTCATTAAATTTGCTGTTAAACTTGTTCAGAATCCCAAAGAAATATTCACTGAAATACGGGAAATTTGTAGCAACCAATATATGTTTTATAGACATATGAGCAAGTGAATTTCAATGAACGGAAATAATATAATATGGGCATTAAAAGTGGGTACCGTCCTTTGCAATTAGGATTTACAACAAACAATATACTGTTCCAAAATTTGAAAAATTATCACCGATAATGTTTGATTGACTGTCAGAAATGATGAATCTTCATCACTGTATATGGTTTCCGCCCAGTGTAATGCCCCTTTACTGTTGCATGGCAATGTCTTAACCTGTTGCTTGAAACATGGCTAACATTTCCCGATCATGACAAGGAGCACACGGCGGATGTGACCGGTCAGCAGGGAGTGCTCACTCCTCCATAGCACCTGATCCCACCTCTGGTGTCCGTGTTTGCTCTGCTTCTATTTTGTATAGTTTAATGGACTTTGATATTGAATACTATACAATTATTGCTGTTTTTTGAGGTCAATACATTGATTTAGCCACATGAAGAGTACAATATTCACCGAGCCCAAAAGGGCGAGGTGAATATTGTACTTCGAAGACGGCTAAATCTTTGTATTGACCTAAAAAAAACCAGCAATAATTGTTTTATTATATGATTCACTGGTAAAATGATACAGCTCATTACTTGTTAACTTGCAATTAATTAAATCCTAGCCAAATACAAGAGAGAAACAGAATAAAAATGTGAAGAAACCTTACCAGTCGTATCAATATGAAATTTCTTTTATCAATTTTAGTTGTCATGAAAAAAATAATACATGTATAATGTCAGTCTTTTTATAGGATAGATTTTGAATGGAAGGAGTATTATCAGGGAACACTGACTGACAAAAAGTAAAAAAAAAAAAAAACCCGTTATGTTCAGTTGCAGTGTTGGAGGGGGGTCCCTGCATCCCCTCTTACCACCCCAACCCTAAAATATAATATTCGCTTTTTTCACATAAAAAAAATCAGTCGTTTAAATAGCTTTTCAAAACAATTTGTATCAATTTGGAATATCCCAATCTATTTTTAGATCAATGTAGAGGAAATAAATCCTTGTATTGACCTGGAACGTCACATGCAGGTCAATACAACGTAGTGTTTTTCTAACATAGTTGGATCTCAGCCAATCAGAGAGAAGGAAATTATTCAATCATACAATAAACTTCGTTATCTCAATATCCTTCAGCTAACATACTGTATTAGCATCCTGCCCTTGGTCCCCTGCCAAACAAGGCCCAGGTCTAAATACCCAAGCCACCCAAGTGCTCAGAATGGGTATGTTTTCATGTAAACATAATGCAGTTCAGCATATCATTATTTCATTTTATTTTATTTTCATAAAAAAAGACAAGGATATGATAACAAAATCTTACTGTTTTGTATGGAATGAAAAGTAAAATTAAAAGCTTCCTATAAACATGCCTTTTAAAAAATATCATTATCTGCATCTCCAAGCGTTATTTTCACAATATCTCAGGGATGTATTTAACATAGTATACCCTTTCACTCATTTCATTCTTTTTTAAATGGATATTTAGTATAGTTCCATCAATTACCAAGTGGACCATCATCTGCACAAATGTCCTTTAACTTTATACAAAAACAAAGTTCAATAAGATGACAAGGATTCATCGAGATTGATCCAATTTTAATCCTAGATGGATATTCATTTCTTAATCTCCCTATAGAGTTTATTTGTACAAAATGAAATTCCATTGTGAAATCATTAATTCTTACAGCTGAAAAACTGTATCTATCTTGCTTGGCATTTTCAGATATAATTAATAAATTGAAACAACAAGAAAAGCTGTAAAAGAGAAGCTACATGAGTATGTCACATATTAAACTAGGTCATGTCACATATTAATCTAGGTCATAGTGATGACTCTTTCTCACATGTAACTGGAGGGAGATCTTATGATTAAAGGCTTCTGGGCACAGGTCACATCTGAATGGCTTCTCTTTTGTATGAGTGAGCATGTGACTGTTTAAGTTGTATCTCGTACGATAGAACTTTCCACACGTGATGCATTCGAAGGGTTTACTATCTGAATGTACCTTCATGTGGCGATGCAGTGTGCCGGAGAATGTAAAACTTTGTCCACAGACATCACAGACAAAGGATTTTTCTTCTGTGTGGATCTTAACATGTTTTCGTAAATTAGATGGATGCTTAAAAGATTTTCCACAATGTTCACAATCAAATGTTCTATCATCATGTTCCCTTAACATATGTTCATTCAAGCAACTCCTTCTGTTGAATAAAGATCCACATAACTCACAAATGTGTTTTACAATTTCTTCCTTGTTACATACATGCTGGCGTAATTGGAGAGCTTCAGAAAAAGTCTTTTTGCAAACTCTGCATTTCACGCTTTTGGCATTAGCCAAGTGCGTTTTCTTATGAGAATGAAGGGCAGATCTAGACTTAATCATTTTTCCACACTCATCACAACCTGCACCTTTCCCAAAACTCAATGGCCATAGTGGGAATTTGTGCAGTCGTCGGTGATATTTCATTTTACCTTTAGTCGAAAACTTTTCACCACACAGAAAGCAATGAAATGCTTTATCGGCAGTTACATTTTTGGACTCGGAACTCTCATCTTTCGTATCTTCTTTATTGGATTCCATGTAATCAGATCCATAACTATCACTTACATCATCATTCTGTGAATCATCTTCAGAGGAACAGCTCTTAAACTCACCATCTTTCTCCATGACATCTGTCTTTGAATCAGCGGTTTTTGAATTCATTTCCATTGGTGTACAATCCTCCCTAGAACTTGATTCCTTCCTTACATCTTCAGAGGAACACCTTTTTAAATCTCCATCTTTCTCCATGAAATCAATCTTTGAATTTGCCGACCTTGAAAACACTTCCCTTGCTGTGCTCCTCTTTGAAATACTCCTTTCATACTCCTCTAGCAACTTCTCCTTTGAAATTCTTGTCAGCTTTATCACTGGCACTTTCTTCTTTGATATAGTGCTTCCGAAATTTTCCATCACTTCTTTTGAAATGCTTTCTTTTGGTTTTTTTGTTATTTTCACTTTTAGAATGCTTCTTCCAGAAGTCGTCTTTTCATCTGCATCTTCTTTTTCTTTACCTATATCTTCCTTATCTTCATAAACGTCTACCTTTTCTTCATCTGAATCTTCTACCTTTCCAGATACATCATTTTTATTTTCTGAAACATCCTCCTCTTTCTGAGGAACATCCTGCTCCTCTTCAGTAAAATCTTCCATCTCTTCCAATCCATCGGATTCATCATCTCTGTCAGAATCTATCTGTACTTCTTGAGAGCCATTTTTCTGTGGATTTGCATCCAGTTTTTTTTCAGGTATGACAGTGGCAGATTCATACTCTGCACTTTTTTCATTATTGACCTCTTCCTCACTATTTAAGAAGTTCAAGATGTTAGTCACCTGACTCTGAACATCATCCAGTTGTTCATGTTCAATCTCTACATTTTCTCCAGGAGGGTTTATGAATGCTTTGAATTTTTTCTGAGAAAGGTCAAACATGTTAGAGTTTGTTCCAGCTGAGCACCATTCCATTACTGTCTTATTAGACTCCTGGAAACCACACTTTTCTGTATCTTGATCAAAACTGCAATTTTCTATAACAGCAGATCGAACTTTCCTTTCAATTTCTGGATTCAAATAATCAAGTCCTGACTGTTTTTCTGTTATGTTCTCAAAATTGGTGGCAGGTTGAGAAATTCTGGTGTTTGAGTTTGAGTTTTGAGTTGTACTTGACATTGATTTAGTTGTAGATTTATCATTATTTTTCACTTTTTCAACTTTTTTCCTGTGTTGTACTTTTGGCTTTGATTTGGATGCCTTTGCAGATGTTGTGTTTCTATTTACTGCTTCAACCTGAGCCTCTGGACAGGATTGTGGTTTTTGTTTGGATTTTGACGTGTCTGTAATCCTGGTAAAATCTTCTTGAACTTGTTCATTGTTACAGGATATTGTTGATGATTGAGACTCATTGTAAAGGATTGTATTAATTGTATAATCTTGAACCCCATTTCCATGACTCGATTTTGACAGTGATCTGGATTTTTCTGTCAAAGTGGCCTTGCCATTCAAACCTTCTTCTTGATTCTTTAAAGTTGCTTTATCTTCTGATCTGTCCCCAGATGAAGGTCTTGCATCTCTTACTGGGACTTCCTGAATATCCTCTCTATGACCTAATTCTGGCTTTGATTTGGGCTTTGGTGAAGGTCCCTTGTTATTCTTCATCTCTCCAGCCAGCTCTGGGTGAGTTTGTTCATCTCTTTGACCTGATCCTGGCTTTGATTTGGGCTTTGGTGAAGGTCCCTTGTTATTCTTCACCCCTCCAGCCTGTTCTTGGTGAGTTTGTTCATCTCTATGACCTGATCCTGGCTTTGATTTGAGTTTTGGTGAAGGTCCCTTGTTATTCTTCACCTCTCCAGACAGTTCTGGATGGGTGCGTTCATGCTTCTCTAGTGTGGACTGTCTCATGTATGCTCTTCTACAGACTTGACATTTGTACAGTGTGATTGGTGAGGTATTGGTGCTAGATTTATGAGGGTGTAAATCCATATTGGTGTTGGTAATAGAGATTGCGTGGCTTGGAGCTGGAGGATTTTGATTGCCTGTGTTACGTTTATAAGTAAATCCTCTGGACTGTGGATCCCATTCTGAATCCAAAAACTTTACAAAAGGCATCTGTTCCACCTGAAAATATATAGAAACATTGAAATATTTACTACATGTACTTGCAGAATAATATGATATGGCACAATCTAGATCTGAATTTTCTCTTCATCTATACTGCTACACTTTGCTTTAAGAGCCTAAATTGTCAAGTAATACTTTTTTTTTTAATTGATCCACCATATCTATTTGCTGCTCCCTCAACTTTAGATCTGGTTTTTAATTGGAAAAAGAAAAAGAAGTTGAATATTCCCTATCTAAAAATACTGTATAATGAATTTGTTTTAAATTGTCTGGAATTGCACAGAAAGTCTACAATTTAGAAGCTACACTACCCCAGGATGCTTCCACATAAATTTAAGGCATGTTTCCATTTTGTCATCTTCCCAGGTCAAGAGTTTCTGATCCGCTCCACTCCACATAAACCCTTGACCAAATAGGCTAAGTTTGACGGGGTTTACTGTCACGCCATCTAGTGAGATTACACATTTTGAACTCTACTGACCTCTGCTATTAGCCAATCAGAGTAAATGAATTCAACAGAGAATTTGAGATAATATTGGTTGTTGGTAATGAATTCAATATAACTCACCTAAAATGCTGAGACAAACCTTTAATGGGCTATTTAATAATAAAGACGTTATCCTTGGGACTAAAACTGGCGTGATTTTCTGTTTACGATTTAGTTTCATTTTAAATAAAACAATGATTTTGATTGGTTCATGCAAGCTTTCATGAGGCCAATCCGAGAACGCTTTTCTAACCCCGTCAAACTCAGTCTATTAGGTCAAGGGTTTATGTGGAGCAGAGCAGATCAGAAACTCTTGACTTGGGAAGATGCATTTTGTTAACTTTAAAACATTGACATGAATGCGATCTTCCATCTGAAACCGAAACGGCCATACAAGCAAGCGTTGTAAGGATAATGAATATTTAATTATAATGGTAGAAACTGTAGATGGTCAGTTATGAAAATTTCGGTTATAAACTTTGATCAAGAAAAATTGAAATCAGAAAAATACAGAGAGAAATCATAAGGTGTATTTTCAACACTAATTTCCTAAGACTTACGCCAAAATTGTAAGGGTTGGCAGCTCTGTTACTATTGAATACTTTTGAGGGTTTTTTTTTTTATATGCATTACATTCTAATCCAGACTTTCCAGTCATACAGGTTAATACAGCTATGCCTCGAATATACAGTAACAAACTTATAAAATGTAAGTAAAATGTGATCAGGAGGGTCATATCTGCACATCAAAATGATCGAAAATTCAATAGCTTCCGGGGTCTTTGTCCTACCAGGGCTTTGTCCTGATTCTAAATGGGGTCTTGAGGCTAGAGCTGGGTATCGCGACTGAAAAATCGTATCGCGATATATAGCAATATTATATTTTGTATTGCAATTTATCACAATATAAATTTTTTAATAAATTTTGCCTTTCGTCAATGTCAAGTGAAAACACAAACTCAAATTACATGTATTCTCGAGTTCATATTGCAACTGCCTGGTCGCGTTGTGTCGGCGCAAGTGGCAAGCTAAGTTTCTGGTGGCACAACTTGACGAATCAAGTTGTAATATTTACATTCGGCTTTAACATGAAGGGGATTGATGTAACTGTTGTCTTTTCGTTTCTGACAGAGATATGTCTCTTGTTTCTGATCACACTTCACGTCGCTTGCCGCCATATTTTACCTTGAAAAGGGCAAATAACTCTTTTTATAACAATTTATAGCATATCGAACCCGAACCGGTATTCACAAAAAAATACCGCGATACGTATTGTGAAGAAAAAAATCGGGATACACCGGTTAACCGGTAATATCGCACAGCACTACTTAAGGCAGCCCCAAAACCCCCTGCCTACTCAGACGTCCGTATCAAAAGTACTCTGGCTATGCCTCTGAATATCTGTGGTACAATGGGTACATGTAAAGCACTAGAGCATGATTACCCAAACCACTCAATACTTAATTGTCAATGGGCTAAAATTTAATTTTGCTATTTTTTTTACATGTACAGTACATAAAGGGGATAAACATGATATCAAGTTTTATTTTTAATAATTTAAAAATTTAAAATAAACCAATATTAATATTAAAAGAAGAAAGGAATTGGATGAAAATTACCATCTTGGTATAGACAGATATTTTTAAAATTCTGATCTTGATCCTCCAACTTGACCACTTTCTTCAAAATTGAATCTGCAAGCCTGTCATTCTGCCAAACCAACAAGGACCGTGATGGAGTCTGTAAAGAAAAATACACTAATTTAATATATTAACATAATTGAGCATTTGTTGTCCTGCTAAGCTTTTTTTAAATGAGGTTTTGTCGGACTAAATTAAAACATCTTAAATACAATGCCTCATTTTGGCTTAAGTTAAAGTTAATTAATTCATACTGAACGGAAAAGATGCCCTAGTTGTAAGGCAGCGAACATTCAAACAAGCTACATGCAGATGCTCCTGTTGTAAGCTTTAAGGGCTTTGGTTTCAAAATCGATTAAAATACAAGAAAATTCGAACAAACATGCAAGCCCATGATAACAAAACTTATGCACCACCATGAGGTTTAAATATGAACAAATACGTACGATTCCTTTACATTTAAAAAGGAAAAAAACACGTTTTCTTCCAAATCTAACTTCCCATTGTTTACTTCCGGAAGTTTAATGTAGCGGGGTGGGACGGGGTAAAATAGGGCTCCGTAAGTTAGACATCCGCACAACCGAGGTTATTCTCAATTACAAAATATATATTGAGTTTAAAATGCCTAAAATAACTATGGTTTAAATATTTAAAATATAACATGATATTAAACGCTTTGAAACTCATTTCTCTTCTTATTCTTTCTTTTTTTTTAAACGGGGGGAGGGGGGGGTGTAAGATAAAGTATGTTAACATGCAACATAGTTATGTAGACCCAAATGGAAATCAAATGAACCCAAATGGAACCTAATATGTACAGCGGTATGTATGTCTGTGTATGTCTGAAACAATTTACAAATTTAATTGTCGACAACCTATATTTCAGAGATTCTGAATGCTTGTGAGTAATAAGATAACGTGGAGTTCACATTTGACCTCTACACCTGTATTCAGAACAGATGATATTTCTAATTACTTTCACAGTTATTTTTTATAGATGAACAAATTTATGTATATTGTACTGACCATGCTGACTCTTTATTTACACAATATGTTTTTAACATTATACAAGATGTAGATCTTTCATTGCTTATTTATATTTCTTTGTTATATTATATTTGTTTGGCAAGGTATGTGATACTTACCTTGAACACATAGGTGGCGTATATAGAATTTACACTGAAAAAGAAACGAATTTCAGCTCCATTAGTTATTTTCACTATATATCCAATCGATAAACAATTAAGTATCCTATTATAATTAAACATGTTAAAAAAATTAACATAGATTCCGACGCATCTATTTTTACTTTTGGTTTACTGAATTTCATTATACAAATGTAGATGATAATAAGGCCAAATAACAACTAATAGATTGTTTGACAAATGAGATATGATTTTAATTTTTCAATTGTCAACTTTTTAAAAAATTTATTTTGTCATTTTCGGCCATGCTTAAGTTGTTTTCAAATTTCAACTTGATTGATACTAAAAGGAATGCTTTAATTTTATAAATTTTTATTTACCGAAGTAGGATATTAATTAACAAATAAATTTAAATTACAAAGACTCGTCTAACGTTAATTATTAGAAAAATATAATGCTATTTGGTGCTTCAATTGGCATCAACCAGGGCAAATCCGACGTGAGTGCCGATGCAGCTATAGACATATTTAGATCCGATTCTTAAATTTTTTTCAGCAATTTCACACGAATCTAAAGGATACCAGTATTTCAAAAGGTATAAAAGATTAATTAAAGGGACTGAGAATAATCAGGTCTTCAGAATGCCAAACAGTGGGAGCCAACATGCCTAGCCATCTAGGGTGGGGTGGAGTTCCGGACCCCCTAGAATTTTCAGAGTTATTAAATTATACACTAACTCCAAGTAAATGTGACTTTGTTCCCTTACATGTAGATGAACACCCCCACCCCCACCCCCGCCCTAGAAAACGCGGACCTCTTCGATCTCGAAAACGCGGATCGATGTGAAATTGGTATCAAAATTAAAGGTGCATCTAAACTTGATTCTGGTAAAAAAAATATATACACAAGAAAAAGTCCATATATATCTTGATTTACTCAGAAAACATCTGGAATCTTCTTTCAGATGTAACAGAATTATAGAGGTAGATATAAATATATGTACAATGAACACATCAAAAACCGAATGATATTGATATCGGTATAATGTTTGAAATTATAATTACTCAGTACTGCATGCATTCTCTTAAGAAGAAGTGTACACGTAGACAAAATCCTGTCCACTTCTCTAAAAAGAAATAAAAGCAATATAATTGGTATATGTTTTTTGAGGATCCCGCGCTGAAATCTGTTTCTTTTTTCAATGTAAATCTATTCTTTGCTTAGTAACACGTCACATTATAAAAAAAAATTATAATAAACATGAAACAAAGAAAATATAATTAAGTAATGAAAGATCTGTATTTTTTTTTTTTTTTTTTTTTTTTTGGTGCGGGTATAACCTTTGAACCATAATTCTTCTACCCCGTCCCATAGAAGCGGCACGTCGATTTACCCCAATGGACCTCATCTACTCCGTTCCGACGCCCATGGAAACTATATACTTCAGTTGTGTATTCAATTTATTTACAAAATTATTGTAACAAAATTTTTAAGTTGCAATTTAAGAAAGTGATAATATTATAAAATATTAATTCTATTTGTGTAAAGTTCATTTCAATTATTTTAAATAGTTAACAACTTGATAATACAATGATATACACTGTACATATTAAATTCCATTTGGGTCCATTTGAGTTTCCATTTGGGTCCATTTAATTTGGGTTCATTTGGGTCCATTTGGGTAAATCGGCGCATTTGTCCGGAAGTAAACAATGGGAAGTTGAACTTTGGAAGAAAAACGTGTTTTATCCGTTTTACTTTTAATGTAAGGGCACCGTATGTATTAGGCCTACCACATTGTGATGCATACATGTTGTAATCATAGCACAATTGATGAAGCTGTTTGTTCGAACAGGGACCTATAAACTGTTAGTTAACATAGGTCTTTGGTTCGAATTTACTCAGACTCTTTTTTAAAGATAATGGTTATGCCTTTAACCACAGGAGCTTTAACATGTTTAACGAGGCCGAGTGTAATTATTTCTTCCCTAGGAATTTTCATAATTTTTGGAAAATTAATATTTACTGTTACATTTATCGAATGTTTACCATCCCAATTTCTTAGGGGGCCATCCCAAAAGTTGTCAAATTTTACTACATGTATTGGACCCTATTGAAATTTGATGGCAAAGCGCCAAATTATCATATTTTTCCATATTTTTGTATTTCTGCTCTAGAAATTTCTTTTTCATTCAAGTATATGAAATTCATTGTAGGAAAAAATCTTTAAATCTACTTAAGAACCACTGAGCCAGAAAAGCTGAAACCTATGCGTAAGCATTTACCAAAAGATACTTTAAAAAATCACTAAATTGTGAAATTTAAATAAAAAATCACCATGTAGGTTGGTATAGAAGGATATGGAGATAACGAACAGTATTCAATCTCAAATTCATAAAAAAATACAAAATTAAAGCAGAGCAAACAACAGAGGTGGGATCAGGTGCCATGGAGGAGTGAGCATCCCCTGCTTACCGGTCACACCCGTCTTGTGCTCCTTGTCAGGATCAAGAAATAACGGAAAAAATATGTTGTCAATTCAGTGTATAAAAAATGGATTCACAATTGGTATGAAACACGTCAGTCAGCATTTGACTCAATGATAAACTGTATTTGCTTACAAGGTCATTGTATCGACCATAAAACTTAAGAAATGATGACTTTAAATGAGACTGCTGATATTCTTGTTTCGTCAACTTGTTTGTCAAAAATTTACCTCGTTTTAGAAATTGTTCATACATAGATCATGCTCTTGCGTATCCAATCAACTGAGATATATATACTCCGTATGCAGGCGATGAAGGTATATTGCTGCATAAGTAAGGTAAGTTGACAATAGAAAAGTTAAAGTCATCATGTTTATCCTATAGCTTGGTCGTTAGATTACCATTAGTGTCTTTTTCAAGTAAAATATCCAAGTATGAAACAGAAGTGTCGGACTCTGTGGTATCTTTTATCTCAAGCTCACCTGGATATATCTTAGGAATGGAAATTAACATTATTAATTGACAATACATCATAGATGTATCTAAATGACGAGTTGAAAGAATTAATTACTAAGTTTATTTTTTTCAAAGCCCAATACCTCTAAAATTGCCATATTACGTATAATTACATTTCAGTGCAGAAGAATTATTGGCGTATATGATTTTTCTGGCAAAAGTAGCTGCAATGTTTATATTGCTAGTTTGTATCTTTGGATATTCTGTCATCAGTTTTTAGTAAAACATCTACGAACATATAAGAGTGAGTCATATGTCATTCTTCAGCGTCATGCATTGCGTACAAAATCTAAAAATGGTGACATCATTAGAGGCATTTTAGCATTTTTTTTCCTAATTTTTGTCATAAAATCACATTTCAGAGTAGGGATCACAAATAAAGTTAATTTTGTATTTAAATCAAAATATTCGGCAAAGTTGTACTATTGCACAAATCACTGCATGAAATTAAAAAGCTGCGCAACTCGATTAGACTCGGCCTCGTTAACTCAACTGCAGAATCACTTATCGCTTGTTTGAATTTTCTCTGATTTTGAAATGTTAATGCAAAAACCCTAACAACAAAAGCATCTTGTCCGTTCTGTACATAACTCATTAAAAAGCCAATAGTAGGGAAACAAATGCTCAATCTGTACTGAATTTTTTTTTTATAATAGACCCCATCAAGGTCCTTGTTGATTTGGCAGAGAGGCAATCTTGGAGATTCAACACTGAAGAAAACGGTCATTCACACACATCCAGTACACTACCGTAAGCAGTCTACTTACTTGTGATGCAGGACCAAGGTCAGAGCTAGAAATCTGTCAATATCATTAATTTTATTGATTTACATGTTATTTTTTTCCTATTCATTTCTTTTTAATTGGTTCTTTTTAATGATTAAACAAAATCTTATCTTGATAGTTACCCCCCATAATGTGCTGGGTTATGTGGCTGCAACATTATTATTGACAAACCAATCGTGTACAATTGTGCATGTGATCGTGTGTAACGTGCAAGATCATGCCTGTATCAGACTCAGTCATTTGTGGTTTTAATCATGAGAGATCGAGTGATAAGAAATGTGGAAAGTTTGTTTTGTACAAGGGCTGTTTGGAAATTATTAATACAATTTCATTTAATGCATAAAGGACGGAGATTCTTTCATGAAAATTCATCAACATTTTATAAAGAAAGAATAAAACACTAGTGCAAAATTTCTTTTTCCTATGTTAATAAGAAAAAATTCGGAGAAATGATAAACATGCATACGTCTATCGACCCAGAGCAGCATTGCTACGTCATTTAACGTCACATCAGCTGTGGATGATTTCGCATGTAAAACGATCGGGAAGCATGTATACTTTTTTTCTTTGTAATTACATTTTACAGTACAAAAATCAAACAGTCTCTTTTCTTGAACTTCCTTAAAAATGTATGCTGTTGCAAAAACTGCAATCAGACTTTCAATTAAAATTTCCTATATTATTTCTAAGGTTGGGAAAAAAAGTGGGGGTGGGGCATAAGGTCTCATCTGAAGGACCCACAACTTTCACTTCAAAGTTCATGGCCAAGGAACAGTTGCTACCCATTTTATATCAACTTATATCAGTGGCGACTGAGATTTGAACTCACGATCTCCCCCCAATCACAGAGCAAGCACTCTACAAACTGAGCTACTGTGAATGGTAAATCGTGCAAGAGTGTGTAATGCGTAGAATCATGTGCGTGAAGGATCGTTCGTGTATCAGGTTTAATCATGTGTTAATTATGCGGAACCATTCATGTAACATGATCGTTTGTGTAAGTTGTCAACAGTAATGTTGCAGCCACTTTACATATATAGCTATGATGAGCAAGGGCCATTCTTACAGAATTGTGAATTTCAAGGCCCTTGGGTCAGGGTTTTCATAGAGGGAGGTGGGGCTCTACTTATATACTAAAAATGAACTGTTTGAAATGTGTTACTTGGTAACTTAATCAAATCTTTTTTATAAGCAAGGGTGCCTTTTTAAAAATTGAGCAATTTGTGGACCTAGGATCAGGGGTTCATGTGTGGTAACAGCACTACTGTTTATTGCTGAATATGAAGATTACTCATCAGTTGAAATGCATTGTTGTTCCCCAAATACCCTGCATATACCAAACTAAGCAATTGCTGCCTCTTTCAAAATTGTGAATTCCATAGCATCTAGCTTAAAACATGAAGCAAATTCAATCATTGTATAGTTGTTGCATGATGATCAGGTTACCTATAAGGCCCATGGGCCTCTTGTTAAACCAAATGGTTACAAATATTGCACTGTTTTTTAATATTTTCAGGTGGAACAGATGCCTTTTGTAAAGCTTTAAGATTCAAAAAGGGATCCACAATCCAGAGGATTTACTTAGAAACATAACACATGTAATCAAAATTCTCCAACTCCAAGCTACTAGATCTCTATTACCAACACCAATAAGGATATATACTCTCGTAGGTCTAGCAGTAATACATCCCCAATCACCCTGTACAAATTACACTGTGAGTCTATTAAGACAATAATGGAATGGTGCTCAGCTGAAACAAACCCTAACATGTTTGACATTTCTGAGCTGAAATTCAAAGCATTCTTAAAACCTGTTAGAGTTAACGTCGGGATTGAACATGAAGAACTGGATGATGTTCAGAGTCAGGTGAACAACATCTTGAACTTCTTAAATAGTGAAGAAGAGGTCAATAATGACGCAAGTGCGGAGTATGAACCTGCCACTGTCATACCTGAAAAAGAATTGGATGTAAATCCACAGAAAAATGGCTCTCAAGAAGTGCAGATAGATTCTGACAGAGATGATGAATCAGAGGGATTGGAAGAGATGGAAGATTTTACTGAAGAGGAGCAGGATGTTCCTAAGAAAGAGGACAATTTTGGAAGCATGATATCAAAGAAAAGAGTGCCAGTGATAAAGCTGCCAAAAATTTCAAAGGAGAAGTTGCTGGAGGATTATGAAAGGAGTATTTCAAAAAAGAGCACAGCAGTGGAAATGTATTTAAAGAAAACAAATTCAAAGACAGATTTCATGGAGAAAGATGGAGATTTAAATAGTTGTTTCTCCAAAGATGATAGAAAGGAATCAAGTTCAAGGGAAGATTGCACACCAGTGGAAGAACATTTAAAGAAGGCAAATTCAGCTACTGATTTAAATAAGAAAGATGGAGATTCTAAAAGCTGTTCCTCTGAAGATAATGTACAGAATGATGATGTAAGAGTTAGTGATGGATCTGATTATATGGAATCCAATAAGGAAGATACAAAAGATGAGAGTTCCAAGTCCAAAAATGAAACTGGCAATAAAGCATTTTATGTTCCTCAGAAAGAGGGGGATGTTTCAGGAAATAAAAATGATGCATCTAGAAAGTTAGAAGATTCAGATGAAGAAAAAGAGGATGTTTATGAAGATGAAGAGAAAGAAGATACAGGTAAAGAAAAAGAAGATGCAGATGAAGAGAAAAATTCTGAAAGAAGCATTCTAAATGTAAAAATAACAAAAAAACCTAAAAAAAGCATTTCAGAAGAGAAAATGATGGAAAATTGTGGAAACACTATATCAAAGAAGAGAGTGCCAGTGATAAAGCTGACAAGAATTTCAAAGGAGAAGTTGCTGGAGGAGTATGAAAGGAGTATTTCAAAGAGGAGCACAGCAGTGGAAGTATATTCAAAAAAAATATATTCAAAGACTGATTTCATGGAGAAAGATGGAGATTTTAAAAGCTGTACCTCTGAAGATGATTTACAGAATGATGATGTTAGTGATAGTGATGGAACTGAGTACGTGGAATCTGACCAGGAAGATGTGGTATATGAAAGTTCTGAGTCCAAAAATGTAACTAGCAATAAAGTATTTCCTTGTTTTCTATGTGATGAAAAGTTTTCGACTAAAAATAAAATGCTAAATCACAGAAGACTGCACAACTTCCCACTATGGCCATTGAGTGTAGGAAAAGGTGCAATTTGTGATGAGTGTGGCAAGGTGATTAAATCTAGATCTGCCCTTGCTTCTCATAAGAGAATGCATGTGGCTGAAAAGATGAAATGCAGAGTTTGCAAAGAGACTTTCTCAGAAGCTCTCCATTCACGCCAGCATGTATGTAATGAGGAACAACGAGTTAAACATATATGTGAGTTATGTGGATCTACATATAGCAGAAGGGGTGACTTAAATCAACATATGCTTAAGGTGCATGACGATAGAACATATGATTGTGAACAGTGCGGAAAATCTTTTAATCATCCAGCTAATTTAAAATTACATCTTAAGATCCACAAAGGAGAAAAATCCTTTATCTGTGACATTTGTGGGAAGGGATTTATATTCTCTGGGGCACTGAGTCGCCACAAGAAGGTACGTCATGCAGGGATTAAACCCTTCAAATGCATTACATGTGGAAAGTGCTGTAGCTCGAGATCCAACTTAAATAGTCACCTGCTCTCTCATACAAAAGAGCTGTCATTCAGATGTGATCTGTGCCCAAAAGCTTACAATCATAAGACCTCCCTCCAGTTACATATGAAAAATCATCATCATTATGATAAAAGTGATATGTGACATACTCATGTTCCTCCTCCTGTACAGATGTTCTTGTTTCAATTTTTTTTTTCAAATTCATATCTGTGCATGTTTTAAAATAAGTTGCTATATTTAATGATTTCACAATGGAACTTCATTTTGTACAAATTAACTCTAAGGAAAGATAAAAAATGAATACATGTACTAGTAAATCAAAATAGGATTGAATCAATCTTAGTGTATCCTTATAATTCTACTTTCACTTGTCTTCTGTGTTAAGTCAACATTGTCAAAGAACATTTGTGCAGATTATGGTCCACTTGGTATTTAATTATACCCGCACTTTCGAAAGAAAGTTCGGGTATATTGTTGTTACTCATGTCCGTCCGTCCGTCCGTCCGTCTGTCACACTTTTCTTCCCTGAACTCCTCCTACATTTTTCACAGTAGCTTAATCATCCTTTGGGAGATGGTTGGGGGTGTCATGTAGATGTGCAGTAAGGTTTCGGAATTTTGATTTTGCCCCGGGGGATCAAATGGGGGTCGAAAAATGACGTTTTTTATACAAAAAGCCCCTTCTTCCCTGAACTCCTCCTACATTTTTCACAGTAGCTTAATCATCCTTTGGGAGATGGTTGGGGGTGTCATGTAGATGTGCAGTAAGGTTTCGGAATTTTGATTTTGCCCCGGGGGATCAAATGGGGGTCGAAAAATGACGTTTTTTATACAAAAAGCCCCTTCTTCCCTGAACTCCTTCTACATTTTACTCAGCAGCCTAATCATCTTTTGAGAGATGGTTGGTGGTGTCATGTAGATGTGCAGTAAGGTTTCGGAATTTTGATTTTGCCCCGGGGGATCAAATGGGGGTCGAAAAATGACGTTTTTTATACAAAAAGCCCCTTCTTCCCTGAACTCCTTCTACATTTTACTCAGCAGCCTAATCATCTTTTGAGAGATGGTTGGTGGTGTCATGTAGATGTGCAGTAAGGTTTCGGAATTTTGATTTTGCCCGGGGGATCAAATGGGGGTCGAAAAATGACGTTTTTTTATACAAAAAGCCCCTTCTTCCCTGAACTCCTTCTACATTTTACTCAGCAGCCTTATCATATTTTAAGAGATGGTTGGTGGTGTCATGTAGATGTGCAGTAAGGTTTCGGAATTTTCATTTTGCCCGGGGGGTGGGGGGGATGGGGATCAAATCGAGGTAGAATTTTTATGTATTTATTTTTTACATATATTTGACATGTTTAATCACCCTGCTTTCAAGAACTTCCCTAATATCTTATGCTGCAATTTAGCTTTAAACCATGATCATTTAGAAAATGATTGGTTTGTTTTGTGTATGTGTAAAATGGTTTCAAAATTTGAATTTTCATATGGATGGCAAAAAGGGGCTGGAATAATATGGCACCTCCCTAACCCTGGTGGTCATGATTTGTACAAACTTGAATCTACACCTCTTGAGAATATTTCCATATTAATCATGCTCTTGGTGTTCCTGAAAAGAAGAACTTTAAAGATGTGTTTCCTTTTATTCCTAAATAAAACTTTGATCCCTAATTGTGGCCTGACCCTAGCCTGAGGTGATGATTTGAAAAACTAGAAATATGTCTATAGGACATGAATGTCCCGCCAGATGTGTATTACTAATGGTACATTAAACAAGAGGCCCATGGGCCACATCGCTCACCTGAGTACTGAAGCTAAGAAAAAGTAGAAATTGGTTTATAATTGAAAAGTTAAAATCCAAAAGTAATCCCATGATCAATCATGGATTTGCTTTTCTTCAAAAAATTTTCCATATATTTCTATGTAAAACTTTGGTCGGCCATTTTGGCCCCGCCCTGCCCCCTGGGGTCATGATTTGTACAAATTTTTGAATCTACACTACCTGAAGATGCTTCCATATAAATATGATGAATTATGGATTTGTCATTCTTGAGAAGAAGATTTTTAAAGAATTTTCCCATAAATTTCTATGTAAAACTTTGGTCGGCCTTTTTGGCCCTGCCCTACCCCCAGGGTCATGATTTGAACAAACTTGAATTTTCACTACCTGAGGATGCTTCCATATAAATTTGATGAATTATGGCTTTGTCATTCTTGAGAAGAAGATTTTTAAAGAATTTTCCTATATATTTCTATGTAAAACTTTGATAAGCCATTTTGGCCCTGCCCTACCCCCGGGGGTCATGATTTGAACAAACTTGAATCTACACTATCTGAGGATGTTACTCCATAAGTTTCATCTTTCCTGGCACAGTGGTTCTAAAGAAGAAGATTTTTTAAGAATTTTCCAATATATTTCTATATAAAACTTTAGTCGGCCATTTTGGCCCTGCCCTACCCCCGGGGGTCATGATTTGAACACATTTGAATATTCACTTCCTGAGGATGTTAATCCATAAGTTTCATCTTTCCTGGCATAGTGGTTCTTGAGAAGAATATTTTTAAAACATGCCACCAAATTTTCATTAATTCCCAATTATCTCCGCTTGAATGAGGGCATGGCCCTTCATTTGAAAAAACTTGAATCCCCTTCACCCAAGGATGCTTTGTGGCAAGTTTGGTTGAAATGGCCCAGTGGTTCTTGAGAAGAAGTCGAAAATGTGAAAAGTTTACAGACAGCTAGACAGACAGACGGACACCGGACAAAATATGATCAGAAAAGCTCACTTGAGCCTTCAGCTCAGGTGAGCTAAAAACTAAAAACTAAAATTTGTATTTGTGTATAAAGTTTGATGAAAATATCTTAAACAGTTTTTTTTTTCAGAATTGAAACTAAAATATAAATAAATTGGATATAGATAATAAATTCTCATCAAATTATGTATAAGTGCATGTTAAACATAAAATGTCTTAAATTATTTCTTAAAAACTAAGCAAAATACATATTAAAGAGGAGGGAGGTCAAGGTCACAGGAATGTGCAAGATGAAGTTTTTGATGCAGCTGAATAGCTCTCACTAATACATATTAGCTTATTTTGTTTGATAAAAATATCTAATGATTTAATAAAAGTGAGCTTAACACTTTGTTTTAAGAAAAGAGAAGTCAAAGGAAAGGTTGTGGTCAAAATGTTGTTCTAGCTGAAAAGCTTACTTCAGTGTGAATTTACTATTATCAAATGAATGTTGATAAAAATATAATTAATGGTTTATTTGAAACTTAGATAAACACATATTTTAAAAAGTGAGGTCAAGGTCAAAAGAAAATTCAAGGTCAAAATAAGTTAATGCAATAATAGCTCTCATCAGTATGTATTAGCATATGAAGTTTGATTAATATATCTTGAACTGTTTATTCAAAACTGATCTAGTCTAAGACAGTCAGGTCAAGATCACAGGAAATGTCAAGGTAAAAAAGAGTGAAGCATTGTAAAGCTTTAATTGCTTACATCAGTATGTATCATCATGTGAAGTTTCATTACACAACTTGAATCATTATGGTTTCTCTAAAATAAAGCTAAACACTAATTTTAAGAAAAGTTAAGTAAAGGTCAAAGGAAAGTAAAGGTAAACAAGATGTGTTTGTGAAACACTATGCGCCCGGCAGAAGCAAAGTTCAAAAAATCTATTTTTAGCATATTGGTCACAGTCAAGGTCACAAGGTCACTGGCCGTGGTGTCATTTGAAAGAAATTAATCAGTGGAGTATGCATCCCAAATATGAAGTCCCTATCTACTATGGTTTAAAAGTTATGGCCAAAAGTGTAAAAAGCTATTTTTAGCATATAGGTCACAGTCAAGGTCATTGACCATGGTGTCATTTGAAAGAATTTAATCAGTGGAGTATGCATCCTAAATATGAAGTTCCTATCTCCTATGGTAAAAAAGTTATGGCCAAAAGTGTAAAAAGCTATTTTTAGCATCTAGGTCACGGTCAAGGTCACAAGGTCATTGACCATGGTGTCATCTGAAAGAACTTAATCAGTGGAGTATGCATCCCAAATATGAGGTTCCTATCTCCTATGGTTCAAAAGTTATGGCAAAAAGTGTAAAAAGCTTTTTTTAGCATATAAGTCACAGTCAAGGTCACAAGATCATTGAGCTTGTTGTCAACCGAAAGGGCTTTATTAGAGGAGTATGCATACCAAATATCAAGTCCCTATCTCCTATGGTTAAAAAGTTATGACAAACAGTGGAAAAAGCTATTTTTAGCATATAGGTCACAGTCAAGGTCACAAGGTCATTGACCTTGATGTCATTTGAAAGGACTTTAATAGTGAAGTATTCATACCAAATATGAAGTCTCTATCTCTTATTGTTCAAAAGTTATGGCCAAAGTTAAAGTTGACAACAGACAAACAGACGAACAGATAATTTAACAGACAAACAGACAGGACAAAAACAATATATGCCCGTGATCTATCGATCCGGGCGCATAAAAAATATTGCCACAGTTGGATAGTTTACATCAGTATATGCATCAGCATATGAACTTTGATAAAATATCTAGAAAGTAATTTCTTTGAGCTCGATGGAAAGACAGATGGAAGGGTGGAGGACGGACATGACAAAAACTAATACATGTATTCCTAATCATGGCGTAGCATAAAAAACTTGAATATACATTATATGAGGATGTTTCCATATCAATATTATACATGCAAATTCAAAGAATTGTGGTCCTTTGCTTTCTGTGTTTAAGTGAATGGGATGCCATAATTTATGGCAGATTGTGTATCAAATATGCATCCCTATCATATGTCACTTTATGAAAATTAGGTCAAAGGGGGGAAATCATCGCATGCTCGAAATATTTTGTTGCAGGTAAAGTACATGTCAAATATGAAAGACCCATCTCTTTTCAATCAAAAGTTCTATATATATAAATATATAATATAATATTTTTGAAAAGTAGGTTAAACTTCTACGTCAAGATCAGAAAGTCAAAAGTCATGATATATTTAGAAAAGTCTTTTCACATGTAATATACATGTATAATTTAAATGCCATAACTTTTCTCTTTCAAAATGATTAATTTAAAATGTTATTTTTTGGAAAGTAGGTAAAATTTTGAGGTCAAGGTCTCACTTGGGTTAAAAAATCATAGTACATTTAGAAAGTTTTGTGGTAATGTACATGTGAAATATAAAAGCCCTATCTCATATTATTCAAAAGTTATGATCAAGGTTAAATTTATTGTGACAGATGCACATACTGTCAAAGATGGCCAGACTGACAGACAAATAAGATTTATTATTACCTAACTTACTATCTAAATTATAATTAGGCATTTTGAACTGTTTCACGGTTTACTTTATGTTTTTGCGTGATCATGAAACAGTGAACTGTTGACCGGTCCACAGAATGAACTGTTGACTGGTTAAAGCGTCATTGTGATATTCAAGCGTTTTGATGATCACGACATCACTATTTACCTGCTCTATAATGAATTAAATTTAAACAAAACACACAAACAATAAATTTATTAAGTATTACTTTAAAATAAAAATATTAGTCTTTATATTATGTATTCAGCTAATTAATAGACAAGTATGTGAATAAACAATTGTGAAAACTTTTTATTGATTGTTTGTGTGTTTTTATTCCAATTTAATTAATTATATA